TGTCTAGGCGGGCCTTTCCTCTTCGGATCCTCCTCGACATCCCGATTTGTGGGTGGCTGTGAGGCACTCTTGCGATTTTTCCGCTTACGCGGCGGCTTGGGTCCTCCGACCTGGCCCAGCCGTTCCTCGATGATGGCAAACCGGGCACTGAATATGTCACCGATTTGCCGAACAATCCTTGCCTCCATTCCCTCTTCTTCTGAAGGGACCGCACCCGGCTGTAAAGGGGCCGGGGCGGCAGGCCTCTCTCCGCGGCCGCAGACGCTGAGGGTGGCTGTGTAGCCTTCTTGGCCTCCTCCAGCTCTTGCCTCAGACGACGAAGCTCGCGACGGTCCGCAACGTACTGCTCCGCAAGCTCTGCATTTTCCTTGCGCACTAGCTCTAGTTCGCGCTGGAGCTCACTGTAGGCCGAGGTGTTGGCCGACTGGTCGCCGCCCGATGACGAAAGTGCCATCCGCAACGCCTTCATCTCTTTGCGATCCTTGATCGCCTCCTCGAGCATGCCGTCCATTCTGACGCGCTGGTTCGCCATCTCCGTGGCCAGCCGAGCATTCTCCTTCCGGAGTTCGACGTACTCGGCTGAGGTGCCCCTCTCGAGCATCTTCTCAGTCACGATGCGGATCCCGGTCAGGGAGGACCCTTTGATCTCTTTAATTATGGTTCCTTTTATGTTACCGCATTTCCGCACCGTTTCCGATATGTGGCTCACGTAGCCGTCCATCTCTGCCTCCAAGGGGTCGGTGAACTGACCCCCGGGCTGAGGGGGTTTCTTGAACTCCGAATGCACCGACATCCTGGAGGAGCCCGCCACTGCAGGGGCAACCTCACGTTCCAAATTCCGATTTTTGGCGGCAGCCAAGTCGGCTTTCGCCTTCGCCAATCCGGTGCCACGACCTTTTCCACTGGACGCCGAGAGAAGAGTCTTCTCCAGCTCGGACGTATTCGGGGGCACCGGATGTGTTTCCGCCCTCGTATAACGAAACGCAGAATTGACTGCGCCGATTTGCACTCTTAGCTGATTTTTTAGCCGCGCTCGCCTTTTTGGCGGCCGACTGCGTGTCACATCCAGATCCTGTAGCCGACCCATCGTCGGTTTCGGATATTCGTCTCTTGCGCCTAGAACGGGGGCGCTCGAGTAGCCCACTCTCATCTCCACTGAAAAGACTTGCCATCGAGGTCGACCGCGATAACATGCTGTCGATCTCGCCGGCAAGACTGGCCAGTTCCTCATCCGTCGCCGGATCCACCTCCAGACTCCGACTGGCCCTGACTGGCACGACTGTAGTCGCCAGTCCCGCCTCCATTACTACCTCCTCCATTACAACATCTCCTACTCCACTCTGGCCTTCCGTTGCCCCCCCAGATACACGGGGCTGACCACCCCCGGCTGAACCGGTGCGGTGGTGGCGGATTCTCCGTCTCCCGACGGTACCGCCCTGGGGAATTCAGTTTTGCGACTGGCCATTCTCATGTTTTCCTTTTTTAACGGGGAAGGTCCCGTGAAAGGCGAAAGGAAATTGAAAATGAAAAATGATAGAAAAAACAAAACGACAGAAATAAAACAGAAGATAGAAAAGACGACAGTAAAGACTCAAAACAAAAATAAAACAAACAAAACAAAAACGAAGAATAACAAAAGGAAGACGAAACAAAACGAAGAGCGAGTCAGGCAAGTCCGCAACACAAATAGTGCGTCACGAACTCGTCCCACCCGCGGCGTCGGAAGATTAGCCGTCAGTAAGTGAGATCTCTAAATAGCGAGAAGTCACTTACCGCCGTTGCCCAGGATGCACCAGGCCCCAGCCATTGTCAGCCACCGTTCCCGCCGGACGTATCCGCACCAGGACAAGTGACCGTACAATGAGCCAGGGCACTCTTGGAGGTTTTCCGACCCAGCACCCCAACCTAACCTAACCTAACCTAACCTAACCTAACCTAACCTAACCTAACCTAACCTAACCTAACCATATCATAGTTAAAAAATTTTTTCTGGAATTTCGCTGTTTTCTCGCTGTCCCTCGTTGTCAAAGTTGTTGTCTAGTCGCTCCCTACAGTTTAAAATAGTTTTTGCACCCCTCACCCCTTTCTACCCCCTGTTGCAAGTAGTTTTTTTGCAAGTAGTTTTTTTCTTAAGAAATCTCAAAAATTCTCTCGTAAATTGTCTTTTTTCGTCGTTTTTTCTTCTTGAATTAGTTAGTTTTCGTTCCCCATTGTCGTTCGTCATCTACCTATCATCCCCCCTACCCCCGTCAACCCCCTGAATTTTGACTACCTTACCTACACCTAATCTGTACTATTTCTCCCCAATTTTCTCCCCCCCTGTCGCTTTTGGAATTTTTCTAGTATTTTTCCCGTGCTGTGCGCTCCGTCCCGAGTGCATAGACACCACACTTGTCCCCATCGGAGCACTTTTGCGAAATAGCATCGAACCGAGCCTACCTAAGCGCTCCAAGATTCAATAATAACATATCATAGTTGAAAAATTTTTTCTGGAATTTCGCTGTTTTCTCGCTGTCCCTCGTTGTCAAAGTTGTTGTCTAGTCGCTCCCTACAGTTTAAAATAGTTTTTGCACCCTCACCCTTTCTACCCCCTGTTGCAAGTAGTTTTTTGTTATTTAGAAATCTCAAAAATTCTCTCGTAAATTGTCTTTTTTCTTCGTTTTTTCTTCTTGAATTAGTTAGTTTTCGTCCCCCGTTGTCGTTCGTCTACCTATCATCCCCCTACCCCCGTCAACCCCCTGAATTTTGACTATTTACCTACTCGTAATCGTACTATTTCTCCCCAATTTTCTCCCCCCCTGTCGCTTTTGGAATTTTTCTAGTATTTTTCCCGTGCTGTGCGCTCCGTCCCGAGTGCATAGACACCACACTTGTCCCCATAGGAGCACTTTTGCGAAAAAGCATCGAACCGAGGCTACCTAAGCGCTCCAAATTCGATAATAACATATCATAGTTGAAAAAATTTTTTCTGGAATTTCGCTGTTTTCTAGCTGTCCCTCGTTGTCAAAGTTGTTGTCTAGTCGCTCAATACAGTTTAATATAGTTTTTGCACCCCTCACCCCTTTCTACCCCCCGTTGCAAGTAGTTTTTTGTTATTTAGAAATCTCAAAAATTCTCTCGTAAATTGTCTTTTTTCGTCGTTTTTTCTTCTTGAATTAGTTAGTTTTCGTCCCCTCTTGTCGTTCGTCTACCTATCACCCCCCTACCCCCGTCAACCCCCTGAATTTTGACTATTTACCTACTCGTAATCGTACTATTTCTCCCCAATTTTCTCCCCCCCTGTCGCTTTTAGAATTTTTCTAGTATTTTTCCCGTGCTGTGCGCTCCGTCCCGAGTGCATAGACACCACACTTGTCCCCATAGGAGCACTTTTGCGAAAAAGCATCGAACCGAGGCTACCTAAGCGCTCCAGAATTCGATAATAACATATCATAGTTGAAAAATTTTTTCTGGAATTTCGCTGTTTTCTCGCTGTCCCTCGTTGTCAAAGTTGTTGTCTAGTCGCTCCATACAGTTTAATATAGTTTTTGCACCCCTCACCCCTTTCTACCCCCCGTTGCAAGTAGTTTTTTGTTATTTAGAAATCTCAAAAATTCTCTCGTAAATTGTCTTTTTTCGTCGTTCTTTCTTCTTGAATTAGTTAGTTTTCGTCCCCTCTTGTCGTTCGTCTACCTATCACCCCCCTACCCCCGTCAACCCCCTGAATTTTGACTATTTACCTACTCGTAATCGTACTATTTCTCCCCAATTTTCTCCCCCCCTGTCGCTTTTAGAATTTTTCTAGTATTTTTCCCGTGCTGTGCGCTCCGTCCCGAGTGCATAGACACCACACTTGTCCCCATAGGAGCACTTTTGCGAAAAAGCATCGAACCGAGGCTACCTAAGCGCTCCAGAATTCGATAATAACATATCATAGTTGAAAAATTTTTTCTGGAAATTCGCTGTTTTCTCGCTGTCCCTCGTTGTCAAAGTTGTTGTCTAGTCGCTCCATACAGTTTAATATAGTTTTTGCACCCCTCACCCCTTTCTACCCCCCGTTGCAAGTAGTTTTTTGTTATTTAGAAATCTCAAAAATTCTCTCGTAAATTGTCTTTTTTCGTCGTTTTTTCTTCTTGAATTAGTTAGTTTTCGTCCCCTCTTGTCGTTCGTCTACCTATCACCCCCCTACCCCCGTCAACCCCCTGAATTTTGACTATTTACCTACTCGTAATCGTACTATTTCTCCCCAATTTTCTCCCCCCCTGTCGCTTTTAGAATTTTTCTAGTATTTTTCCCGTGCTGTGCGCTCCGTCCCGAGTGCATAGACACCACACTTGTCCCCATAGGAGCACTTTTGCGAAAAAGCATCGAACCGAGGCTACCTAAGCGCTCCAGAATTCGATAATAACATATCATAGTTGAAAAAATTTTTCTGGAAATTCGCTGTTTTCTCGCTGTCCCTCGTTGTCAAAGTTGTTGTCTAGTCGCTCCATACAGTTTAATATAGTTTTTGCACCCCTCACCCCTTTCTACCCCCCGTTGCAAGTAGTTTTTTGTTATTTAGAAATCTCAAAAATTCTCTCGTAAATTGTCTTTTTTCGTCGTTTTTTCTTCTTGAATTAGTTAGTTTTCGTCCCCTCTTGTCGTTCGTCTACCTATCACCCCCCTACCCCCGTCAACCCCCTGAATTTTGACTATTTACCTACTCGTAATCGTACTATTTCTCCCCAATTTTCTCCCCCCCTGTCGCTTTTAGAATTTTTCTAGTATTTTTCCCGTGCTGTGCGCTCCGTCCCGAGTGCATAGACACCACACTTGTCCCCATAGGAGCACTTTTGCGAAAAATTTGCCCGCCCACCCGCCCATTTTTCTCACTGTATAAGGTGGAAATTTCGAGACCAAAAAATTTTTATTTTCTTTTTCGCACTTTTTCGTTCTGAAATTGATAGTGCTGCCCCTCAGCAGCCCCCCCGTCAACTTCTTACTCACCTTTGCTTCCCCAGTTAGCCTAAAACTTGAAAATGATCCTAGCACGGTCACCGGTCAGGCGACCCGTCAACTTGCCGTCGGCGTCAGCTGAGGCTCGAAAGGCCGATTCTGCGGCCCCTCAGGCATCCCCCCCTTCTTCAGGCACCTCATCTACCGACTTCCACCCAACGTGGAGACCAATAGCAGAGTCAGACTCCTCCAGTCGCAGCTGCCACGGTAGCGCCCTTGACGAAAACTCAGTATTCACCTCGTTACCTCTTCCCCAACGTACCCAGTCGAATGTCGCAGCAGAAGGGGCTGATTGTTCGGAACGAGTGCAAACTCTCGCACTGGGCATAGTCAGCACCCTAAGGCAGGCTAAATCTGTCACTGCCGATATGCGGAACAGAGCCATAGATTCAGCAAATCAAATCGCTTGGCTAGCCGGTAACTCAATGGCCCGCCGCTTAAAGGAGATTGAAACAGAATCCGCTGCATGCAAGCAGGAACTCATGACCGTACGCAGTGAGCTTGGCGAAATTAAGGCCCTCATAGCGAGCAACAAAGCGGTCAATATTGGTGAAGGTGGACAGATAGATCTAAACTCAGCTTTCACGGCTTCAGCTCTTGACCCCTTAATGAAGGAGATTCGTACTCTGAGGGAGGAGCTGACCAAACGGGAAGACGTCTGTTCCACAAAACATGTCACCAGAGAACAGCTAGACAAGATTCTTGGTGACAAAATAGAAGCTATCAAAGCTGATATTTCCACAGCCAAGACGGCTATCCTGGACATGAGAGAAGCCAGACATGAAGAAGTTATCTCTCTGATGCATGAGCAGGGAACTGCGCTTGATGCAGAAGTTGCTCTCAACGAAATCAAAGAGCAAATCAAAGAAGTTCGAACTAAAGTTCAAGAAAACGCCAAGGCAATCAGTAATCGTGCGGAGCTACAAAATGCCAAAAAGCCAACCATCCCGTCTACTGCAAATTCAGTACCTGTCTCAGAATCGAAACCAGCAAATCAGGCTAACAAAAATAAACCGCGTCGCCCCAGCAGCTATGCCGAAGCTTTAAGCAAGCCGAATTATGCGGTCCTGATAGAATCGGCTGATCCTAGGAAAACGTCTGAAGACGTCATAAATCATGTTAAACAGAATGTTAACGTCATCGACTTAGGCATTGGCGTAAACAGAGTTACGAAGATCAAAAATCAGAAGGTTATTATGGCTTGCGGGTCTCAGGAGGAACGCAGTGCACTTCAAGAGGCGATACGCCAAAAGTGCACACAGATCTCAGCCAGAAGCACGAGAGATAGACTTCCTCAAATCAGGCTTGTCGGAGTCATAAATAGCCTCACAGATGCAGAAATTGAGAAGGCAGTCACCAGCCAAAATCGACATCTGCTCGGCTCCCTTCCTCCTAACTCGCAGGTCAAAGTACTACGCAGAACCAAAGGCAGAACCCAGGAGGTCAAGAATGCTATCCTTGAAGTGTCTCCGTCGATTTGGAAAGCAGCTCAGGGACAGAAGCTCCACATCGGCCTGCAATTGGTGCCTGCAGTCGATCAGTCGCCCCTGATTCAGTGCTACAAATGCATGGGATATAATCACAGGGCGGCTGAATGCAATGAAAAGATCAGATGTGGGCACTGTGCCCAAGAACATGATACCAGAGCGTGTCCCAACAGGAACCTGACCCCCCAGTGCTGTAACTGCAAAAAGGCAAAAAGAGACCTTGAGCCTCATCCAGCTTACAGTCAAGACTGCCCCGACTGGCAGAAATGGGATGGCATAGCGAGAGCCGCTGTCCTCTACTGCTAAGGGCGTCGACACAGATAGGGCAACAAATGCCCAAAACCCACAGGAGACACTCAAGATAGCACAGATAAACCTAGGAAGAGGGCATTCCGCCACGCAAGAATGTCTCAGAGAAGCCACTCAACAGGGTTATTCAGTCTTGCTGCTTCAAGAACCCTACGTTGGCTCCAAAGGATACTTGAGTGTTGGTGGTAACAGTCGGATCATACAAAAGCTACACAATAGAAGCCATCCGGTAAGGGCAGCTATTGTCATATTAAACCCAAGTCTTCGTATAATCGAAAGCCAGGAATGGATTACAGAAGACATAGTCGGACTGAAAATCACTGTTGGTAACGATACTTTTATATTAATTAACGCATATCTAGATAAGACGCATGATATAGAACAGACTGTGAACTCTCTCCGCAAAATTGTTGATTCGACTGGAACTACCAACCTTCTCCTTGCGGGCGACGCTAACGCCAAAAGTCCATGGTGGGGATGTGATTCCGAAGACGAACGAGGCAGCAAAATAATGGACATGTTTGCAGAACTTGGCATGGAAGTCCTCAATCAAGGGTCGCAACCGACATTTCTGGTATATCGACAAGGACAACCATGCCAGAGTATCATTGACATCACAGCTTGTTCATCACAGGTCCTCAACTTAATTACTGACTGGAAAGTAAACCCAAACCTCTGTTCGTTATCGGATCACATCCCGATTACTTTTAATCTCAAAGCCACGCCAAACCTCGACACATATCCTTCTTCTACACGAGTGTTCTTTACGGCCAAAGCAGACTGGACTAAATTTGAAGAAACATTCACTAACAACCTCGAACAACTGAACATTAGCACTGAAGCAATATTGGATATAGATAATACTACTGATCTGGAACATATAGTTTTAAAATATCAGGATGCATTAACTAATGCTTGCAATGAATCGATGCCTAAGATACAAAATAAAAAATGTATAAAAAGCGCAAAGTGGTGGACTACAAACCTCTCCAAATTAAAAGCAGAATTGAAAAGAAATAGAAACAGAATAAAGAAGGCAAATCCTAATGCTAGGAACTTTGTAGTACAGGAGTATCTTAAGAAAAAAGAAGAGTATAAGAAAGAAATACAACTAGCTATCACAAAAAGCTGGAAGGAATTCTGTACGGGAGAAGAAAGAGAAACGGTCTGGCAAAGATCCTACAGAATCATAAAACATTCCAGTAAAGCTGTCAGGGAAAAATTGTTAATAGGCAATGACGGTACCACACTCTCGGCGGATGAGTCTGCGGCTCTACTAGCCAACACCTTCTTTCCCGAAGACGATCCCACCAAGGACAACCATGAACACTCTCAGATCAGGCAAAAATCTATAGAAATCACCTCCAAAAATCTACCTATGGACAGACAAATCACTCTTTTTACAGAACAGGAATTACAATCAGCACTGCAGCATGCAAATTCCAAAAAAGCTCCTGGCGTGGACGCATTCACTGCAGACATTTGCCAAAAAGCTTTCAAAACATGCCCTGAAATTCTACTGGCTATTTACAACAGGTGCCTTCTACTGAGCTACTTCCCTGAAGTATGGAAGGAGGCCTATATAAAAGTTATACCCAAGCCAGGCAAGGATGATTACAGCCTTCCCAAATCTTATCGACCAATAGGCCTTCTTTCTCTATTGGGGAAGACCTTAGAGAAAATGATGGCAAGGAGACTACAGTGGGACCTTACTGCTAGGGGCTCTCTACACCCCAACCAGTACGGATTTCTCCCACAAAAAAGCACAGAGGACGCGCTATATGACGCGCTGAGTATAGTTAAAAGCGCCATAAAATCCAAACAACTTGCGGTTATTGTTTCTCTCGACATCCAAGGGGCGTTTGATAGTGCCTGGTGGCCCACTATCATCACACAGTTGGACACCATGGGAATAGATGAGGACATACTGCAGCTGATTACCTCTTATCTGTCACAAAGGAAGATAACCATTAAATACTCAGGCGTAACAATAAATAGGGAAACAAACAGGGGCTGCATCCAAGGATCGGTCTGTGGACCGATCCTATGGAATGTCCAATTAAACCAGGCACTTGAAGCTTCCCAATATGGAGGAGTTCACATACAAGCCTTTGCAGATGACATAATCCTTATAGCTCAGGGTAGCACTGGAGAGGAGGTGGAGAGAAACCTGAACCAGGCGCTCGCAAAGATACTTAATTGGGGCAATAAGCTTAAGCTAAAATTCGCCCCGCATAAAACGCAAGCAGTTCTCTTCACCAAGAAACTCAAATACCATACCCCCAGACTAGTGATGGATGGAACACCGATCGAAATACGAGATGAGGTTAAGGTTCTCGGTTTAATTATTGACCGAAACCTTAACTTCAACTCCCACATTCGAACCGTCTCTGCAAAGGCTTTAAACATCTACAAATCAGTATCCAAGATGGCTAGGGCTCAATGGGGATTAAATCCCAGTGTCCTCAAATTAATATACCAATCTGTCGTGGAGCCGACCATCTTATATGCAGCTAGTTGCTGGGCTCACACCACCTCTAACCACTATGTAGGGAAAACTCTCGACAGAATCACCAGGCTATTCGCCATTAAAATCTGCAAAGGACACAGAACCACCTCCTTCTCTGCTAGTGTGGTGCTGGCAGGGATTCTTCCCCTCAAACTCAAAGCGATTGAACAGGCTGAGTTGTACTTAATTAAGAGGGGGGAACCCCTGGATGAGCTGCCTGGCAGAGAATTTGAAAGTCGCACACCGGTCTCTTCACTACCGCATCCAACAAATAGGAAGGCTATCTCTTTTAAAATTATAAACAACCAATCCGAGTTAGATGACGTTATAGACAATAACTGGCCGCGGTTCTTCACTGATGGTAGCAAAATAGAGGGCAAAGTCGGCGGCTCTGTCACATGCTGGCTGGAAAATAAAGAAGTCTACTTCACCAGTTTTCGTTTAGAAGACTTCTGCTCCGTCTTTCAAGCAGAACTGGCAGCCATACTCAAAGCCATTGAGGTAATGGGCAAAAAGCCGAAACTCCAAGTTGCAAATATCCTAAGTGACTCAAGATCAGCGCTTGAAAGTATTGCTGACCCATGCCCACTTCACCCGCTCACCATGAAAATCCGGCAGAAACTTCAGGATATAGTGCAAAAAGGCGGAAAAGTCCAATTCTATTGGGTAAAAGCTCACGTAGGCATACACGGAAATGAGCGAGCTGACGACCTCGCCAAGACAGCGGCCCTGAAAAAGAAAATAAAACCAGTTTATGATCGGTTTCCTCTAACGTACGCTAAAAAGCTATTAAGGGAAAAATCACTAGATAAATGTCAAAAATTATACACAGAATCCAACACGGCAGCTATAACAAAAATGTTCCTACCAGATATTCGTAAAGCATATAAGATAGTCAAAGAAATAGATATAGATAACACAATAACTCACCTTCTCACCGGACATGGAGGAAACCGATCATATCTACACAGGTTTAAACTGATAGATAGCCCTAGCTGCCAATGTGACAGTGAAACACCTCAAACCATACAGCATATACTTTTTGATTGTCAAAGATTCGCCAAAAAACGGTTTGAGTGCGAGTTCAAATTGGATGCAACACTGTCTGAAAGTAATATGGAATACATATTTGAAAATAAAGACACCAGGGATATACTACTTAATTTCGCAAAGCCTCTGCTGAGGGTCGTAGCAAGAGAGAATGGAGCAAGAATACTTCATTAATTTGATAAAGGTTTATACACAGTTATACAACTTTATATACAATTTTATATCTACATAATTTACAATTTTTAAATATATACACTAAATATATATAAAAAAAAAAAAAAAAAAAAAAAAAAAAAAAAAAAAAAAAAAAATCCTCAGTTAATACACAGTTAATAATAATACAGATGAGAAGGTTGTCGCAAGAAAAATAGCGACAGAAAACAAAGAAATTAAAAAAAAAAAAAAAAAAAAAAAAAAAACCTAACCTAACCTAACCTAACCTAACCTAACCTAACCTAACCTAACCTAACCTAACCTAACCTAACCTAACCTAACCTAACCTAACCTAACCTAACCTAACCTAACCTAACCTAACCTAACCTAACCTAACCTAACCTAACCTAACCTAACCTAACCTAACCTAACCTAACCTAACCTAACCTAACCTAACCTAACCTAACCTAACCTAACCTAACCTAACCTAACCTAACCTAACCTAACCTAACCTAACCTAACCTAACCTAACCTAACCTAACCTAACCTAACCTAACCTAACCTAACCTAACCTAACCTAACCTAACCTAACCTAACCTAACCTAACCTAACCTAACCTAACCTAACCTAACCTAACCTAACGTTACCTAACCTAACCTAACCTAACCTGGCCTAACCTAACCTAACTGGCCTAACCTAACCTAACCTGGCCTAACCTAACCTGGCCTGGCCTAACCTGGCCTGGCCTGGCCTAGCCTGGCCTGGCCTAACCTAACCTAACCTAACCTAACCTAACCTAACCTAACCTAACCTAACCTAACCTAACCTAACCTAACCTAACCTAACCTATCCTAACCTAACCTAACCTAACCTATCCTAACCTAACCTAACCTAACCTAACCTAACCTAACCTAACCTAACCTAACCTATCCTAACCTAACCTAACCTAACCTAACCTAACCTAACCTAACCTAACCTAACCTAACCTAACCTAACCTGACCTAACCTAACCTGACCTAACCTAACCTGGCCTGGCCTGGCCTGGCCTGGCCTAACCTGGCCTGGCCTGGCCTGGCCTGGCCTGGCCTGGCCTGGCCTAACCTGGCCCTAACCTGGCCTGGGCCTGGCCTGGCCTGGCCTGGCCCTGGCCTGGCCTGGCCTGGCCTAACCTGGCCTGGCCTGGCCTGGCCTGGCCTGGCCTGGCCTGGCCTAACCTGGCCTGGCCTAACCTAACCTGGCCTGGCCTGGCCTGGCCTGGCCTGGCCTGGCCTGGCCTGGCCTGCCTGGCCTAACCTAACCTGGCCTGGCCTAACCTAACCTAACCTGGCCTAACCTTAACCTGGCCTGGCCTAACCTAACCTAACCTAACCTAACCTGGCCTGGCCTAACCTAACCTGCGGAACCTAACCCTAACCTGGCCTAACCTAACCTAACCTAACCTAACCTAACCTAACCTAATCTAACCTAACCTAACCTAACCTAACCTAACCCTAACCTAACCTAACCTAACCTTTTTTTTTTTTTTTTTTTTTTTTTTTTTTACATGTGGAAAATGCGTCATGCAGAGACACACCCCCGGGGGAGGGTGTGAATACTGCCGGACTCCTACCGGCTAAAAACCACATGGCATTCCCTCGCCGCGCCTTAATGTTGGGGACCCGGGTTCCCTTGCGTAGTCCACCGGGATCCCCAACGGCGTTGGCCCGCACCGGCTCGCGGGCCCCGACTCAGTTTGGGGCGGGTACGAGATGTTGAATACCCACCCCCATCTAGGGGAAGCGCGCGGGGATGCGCGCGCGACTTCCCAGGGCCATGTTGGTATGGGGTGGGACTGCCCCCGCAGTCGTCACCCCGGCCCTGTGGCGATGTAATTATCGCCGGAGAGGAGGGCGGGACTACCTGCCCGTTTCCATCTCCTCTCCCTCCACACTCACCCGGCCTGCTGGGTTCGGCAATTTCACCGGTTGCTTCTTACGCTTCTTAGGAGGAGTGCAGGCCTTGGACCCCACCCAATGGTCCGACGGCCGGCCCTGCGCTGAACACACAGCGCACTTTGGGTCGGCCGCGCACATCGCCGCCTTATGGCCTTCGTTTCCGCAGCGGTAACATAGACCGCTGCGGTCCTGCTCATGACTGCAGGATGCCCGCACATGTCCTTCCTCCAAGCAGCGGAAGCACCGAAGCGGCCTCTGCCGCAGGAGCTCTGCTTTCGCCGAAACCCAGCCTATACGAACTCGGCCGGCGACCGTCATCTTCTTAACTGCTTGCGATGGAGCTTTAACCCAGCAAGTGCCCACCCCAGATCTAGTACGTCGAACCTCTCCGACTCGCACTTGGTCCACCTGACAGCCGCCCTCCCGGGCAACCGCAGCGGCCACTTCCTCCGACGTAACACTGTCGTCCAGGCCCGATATCCGCATCTCCGCGGACTTTACGGGCCTGGAGATTTTGGCCATATTCTCCGGGATGAACTCCCGGAGCTTCGACGCCAGAACGTCGGCCTTCTCCGCGCCATCAGCACCTGGGACCTCTAGGACCTTACCGCCGGTGATCGCGGTGCGAAACCGCATATCTTCGATCCCCAATGCGCGGAGATCGATCCTTCTCTTGGCCTCCGCAAGGACATTCGCATACGCGACACCCTCCCTTTCCGCCTCCGGGTCCAACGTAATAATCACCGCCGCGGAGCGAGGCGGTTTCAGTTTAGAAGGCGAGGGTGCGCTCGTCTTCTTTGCCTTCTTCGAGGGGGCCGAACCGGCTTTCGTCACCGGAGGTTTGACAGCCACAGGCTGCCCTTCGGGAACACTGACGGTCTTGCCCCGTTTTCCTTTTACGACCGTCGCCCAGGAGGACGCGGTCGACTGCACAGACGTTTGAGCGGAGGTCGAAGCCACCGGCTCGGGCTGTCCAGAGGGCGCCGGTGTGACGGGCGTCTTCTTCGCCTTCTTCTTCTTGGCCCGACCCGTTTCTGACTGGGGAAGAGAACCCCGGTCGCCGACTCTAGGGGTGTCGGGCACATCTGACGCCATTGTCCCGGCCTCGGGCAAAGTTTGCGTGGAGACCGCAGACGAGGACGACACCTTCTCTGGAGGGGTGCGAATTGAGATCATTTCTCTCACCTCTTTCATAAATGTCCCTACCATTTGGCGGACGATGCCGCCGACATCTCTCATTATCTGAGCACGGAATGCGCTCGCATCACTTCCTACAACAGGAACACCGTCTGCCGAGATACCGGCCTGGGCCGCTGGCTTGGCAGCTGGCTTGGCAGCACGAGCCTCGGCCAACTGCCGACGCAGGTACTCGACTTCCTGCTCAAGTCTCAGGTTCTTTGAGACCAGTGGAGAGACCGACGTCGGAAATAGATCCCCCTCCAAGGTGTCCACAACCTGTGTGATCCCGGCCAAACCCTCTTTCAGGGTCCTTATGGTGGTCCCTTTGAGATTTCCCGCCTTCTTAACGACGTCGCTAAGAGCATCCGCTTGCCGATGGACGAGAAGTTTCGCCCTATGGAGTACCTCCTCGGCCACTTTGTTCTTGTCACCGGCGGCAGCGGTGGCAGTGGCCAGATGCCGTCGGCCTGTCCAGCTCCGTCGGTTTGTCTGACTCCTCATCTCCGGAAGAAAAGAAATCACTCTCGTGATAATCTAAGACCGTCACTGGGGGCAGACCAGATTTGCCAGCGGCTGTCCCTTCATCTTCGAAAAATCGGTATGTGAATTGCCGACACTCCTCCTTCTTTCTAGTGCGATCGAACTGGCTCTCGATCCCACTCTAGGGCTGCCGGACCTTTTGCGGACGGATTGGACATCGCCCTCATCCTCGACCGTGGAGTCCGTATCGGACTCGTTAAGACGCCTTTTGCGCCAGGAGCGTAGTCCAGATGTGGACGGCAACTGCTCCGTCTCCATGCCTTCATCAATTGGGGATGCGCACAAGCTCGACCGCGAAGACCCGCAGTCGGTCTCGCCCGCAACCGCCCTCAACAAGCTGTGACGAGTGCGACGGCGACCTAACTCCACAACATCCTCGCCCAGTACAACGGAGCACTCTTTCAGAACCTCCACTTCCGACTTCTTTTTACTAACACCGCCCTTCACGGGCACCGACTTCTCTCCGCCCTTCGCGGGCACCGACTTCTCACCGTCCTTCTCGGACACGACATCAATTTTGGGTTTTGTTTTTGACATATCCATACTTGTTCCCACGAGTATGGGGGAAAGGTTTCACACGCAGGGGAGCCCCCTGCTTCTGCGTGCGGCCTACATACAACGGGGTGCGGCAGATACCCCGAGGTTGGTGCCCTTGCGGCCGATGATACTCCACCGACCCGCCCGCAGCACAGAACACGCTAACCGAACTTTTAATGTCCGGTAGCGTGCACCGCACAACGAACTATGCATCGCCAGGCACCGAAGCTTACACAAGAGGATTTTTATAGAGGTTTACTCCTCGCGGCCCAGGCGGTTAAGCCAAGGCCCCCGTCCCCTCACTCGGGTGCGAAACATGACCACACCTCCGCGAGGGATTACGGTTTTTCGGCGGTGGCACTGAAACCAGCCCGGCTGCGCAACGAAGCACTCACCGGGCCCGCCGACCACTCCCACTACGAGAAGTCGCGGAACAAAACCCGCCCCCAACAAAAACACGACAAACCCCATAACTTGGGCTCGCCGCTCACCACCTCGTGTCGGAATATTAGCCGTCGGTAAGTGAGATCTCTAAATAGCGAGAAGTCACTTACCGCCGTTGCCCAGGATGCACCAGGCCCCAGCCATTGTCAGCCACCGTTCCCGCCGGACGTATCCGCACCAGGACAAGTGACCGTACAATGAGCCAGGGCACTCTTGGAGGTTTTCCGACCTAACACCCTAACCTAACCTAACCTAACCTAACCTAACCTAACCTAACCTAACCTAACCTAACCTAACATAACCTACCTAACCTAACCTAACCTAACCTAACCTAACCTAACCTAACCTAACCTAACCTAACCTAACCTAACCTAACCTAACCTAACCTAACCTAACCTAACCTAACCTAACCTAACCTAACCTAACCTAACCTAACCTAACCTACCCTAACCTAACCTAACCTAACCTAACCTAACCTAACCTAACCTAACCTAACCTAACCTAACCTAACCTAACCTAACCTAACCTAACCTAACCTAACCTAACCTAACCTAACCTAACCTAACCTAACCTAACCTAACCTAACCTAACCCAACCTAACCTACCCTTACCTTACCTTTCCTAACCTACTTAACTAACCTTACCTAACCTAACCTAACCTAACCTAACCTAACCTAACCTAACCTAACCTAACCTAACCTAACCTAACCTAACCTAACCTTAACCTTGGACCTCCCTAACCTAACCTAACCTAACCTGGCCTAACCTAACCTAACCTTAACCTAACCTGGCCTAACCTAACCTAACCGCCTAACCTGGCCCCTGGCCTAACCTAACCGGCCTGGCCTTGGCCTTGCCTTGGCGCCCTAACCTAACCTGGCCTGGCCTAACCTAACCTGGCCTAACCTAACCTAACCTAACCTGGCCTAACCTAGGACCTAACCGAGGGCCTCCTTAATCTAACCTAACCTGGCCTAACCCCTAACCTGGCCTAACCTAACCTAACCTAATGCTACCCTGGCCTGGCCTGGCCTGGCCCTGGCCTGGCCTAACCAACCCATTTAACCGGAACCTATCCTCTCTCCCAGGCCTAACCCTGGCCTCCTAACCTAACCTGGCCTAACCTGGCCTAACCTGGCCTAACCTGGCCTAACCTGGGCAACCTAACCTGGCGGACGACCCCTGGCCTCCTGGCCCGCCTAACCTAACCTACGAACCGGCCACCTTCCCTGGCCGGCCTGGCCTAACCTGCCCCTAACCTAACCTAACCTAACCTAACCACCTGCTAACCTAACCTGGCCTAACCTAACCGGCCTATCCTGGCAACCTAAGCCACCCTAACCGCCTCGAACCTGGTCCTGGCCTAACTGGCCTGGCCTAATTTCCAGACCTAACCTGGCCCTAGGCTGGCCTAACCTAACCTAACCTGACCTAACCTGCCTGGCCTGGCCTAACCTAACCTGGCCTCCTAACCCAACCTGGCCTGGCCTGGCCTGGCCTGGCCTGGCCTGGCCTAACCTAACTAACCTGGCCGGATTTTTACCTGGCCTAACCTAACCTAACCAACCTGGCCCCTAGGTCACCTAGAACAGCAAGGCCTCGCCCCAAACTGGCCTGGCCTAACCTAACCTAACCTAACCTAACCTAACCCGGCCTCTAGCCTGGCCTAACCTAACCTCCCTGGCCTAAAAACCTGGCCTGGCCTGGCCTGGCACCCTGGCCTTGAGGCCTAACCTGGAAACCTGGCCTGGCCCGACCTGGCCTGGCCTGGCCTGGAACCTGGCCTGGCCTAACCTGGCCGGCCTGGCCTAACCCTAATCCCACCCTAACCGGCCTAACTCCTGGCCTGGCCTGGCCTGGCCTAACCTAACCTCCTGAACCTAACCTGGCCTGGCCTAACCTAACCTAACCTGGCCTAACCTAACCAGGCCTGGCCTGCCCTAACCTAACCTACCCGGCCTGGCCCAACCTAACCTAACCTGGCCTAACCTAACCTAACCTGGCCTGGCCTCCAAGAGACCTGGCCTAACCTAACCTAACCCTAACCTAACCTAACCTAACCTAACCTAACCTAACCTAACCTAACCTAACCTAACCTAACCTAACCTAACCTAACCTAACCTAACCTTTTTTTTTTTTTTTTTTTTTTTTTTTTTAACGAGGGGAAAATCTTCAGAAAGAGAACCACCGCCAGCGGGATGACGGTGGATACTGTGGGATTCTTACCCACTAAAAAC